GCAATGAAGCTTCATCTATCAGTTTATTTTATACTTCTATGGATCCTCTAAATTGTTGTTTTATATTCAGGTGACCATTAAGGCCCTTGGACCTCTTGTTTTTTTTTTGTAATTGGACTGGATACAAACCTCCAACTCTCCCACCAGATTCCAAATTCTTGGATCCATCTCTCTGGGTTATAGGGTGGTTGTGGCTTTTTGCTCAAAAATTAAATATACCTATCTTTCATCATTAAAATTTTATGTAAATGTTTAATTTCATTGCTAGCGTAACTGTTTTGTTTATTCACTTCCAAATTAAGAAAAATCTGTAAGCAGAGGGAAATTCTTAATATTTCAGAGATGGACATCAACATAAAGAAGTTGAAGAAAGAAGATGAGGTAATAACCATAGAATTAGATGAAAATGAAACTTTTGACTACTCATCAAAAAAGGCAAGAAACTCCAGTAATCTAAAGGATCATGTGTCAAAAGCTGATAAATGCTCTCTTAAAGATCACAAAGAGGTCCCACTAGATGTCCAAGGCTCTCTTGAAAGAGAGGAGAAACCAAATCAACTATTGTGCAACAAGCATCCTTTTTTAAATGCATCAGAGATACCAACAGAAGAGAATGCTGAAAAGGATGTAGTTGAACCTTTACCTCCAGAAATACCTTCATCTGTCAAGAACATCAGAACCTCAAATGAACAAAGTGAATCACTAATTCAGCCGTCTACCAGAGAACAAACAGAACAGGAGACACCACTGGTAACTCAATCCAGCAGGACTACTGCTAAACAGATGTTGGATACTAGAGATGAGGAATCTCTAGTTGCAGCCCAATCAATGACAAGCTTGGCAAATGGACACTGTTCAAATGGAGCACATATACCAGTGGAGGAGCAAAGTCCAAGCAGCATAGCTGAGGTAGATAGATCCCCAAGAAAGAGGGGAAATAATAATGAGGAAGAGATTCCTAATATCAGATACAGAATGGACCCCACCTACCAAGATCTCAGTGGAGAATCAAATGCAAATCCTACAGAAAAACAAGGTATTGATGAATCATCAATTCCTTCAATGCAGCCAGGTAACGAGTGGAATGCACAAGGAGTACCTCTGCATAGCAGTAACCTTAACAATCGCTGGAACTATCATTCTCACAGTTACAGCTGCAATCAAAACAATATTTTACCACCTGCTTCCAGCCTCCTGAAAGTTCCTCGAATATATGATGAAAATATGAACATACAACATGGACCAAACAGTTACCAGACAGCCAGATCAGGACCGATGCCAGGGTTTGCCAATAATATGGGTCAGGCTATACAAACAGTATCCACCCCTACAAGAATGGAAAACCATTACGAAGGTCCCCACATGTCTGTGCCAGATTCCCATTTTCCTTACCACAGTCAAATGATGAATAACCCAGAATACTATGTGATGCCCAGCAATCACGGCTCAGCCATTGGACCAGGCAATTCTGCCCATATCTTCAACAGCTTTCCACACAGTGATCATCAATTTCCTCCAGCAGCAAACATTGAAATTCCAGAGTCTGGTCAGTACCATGAATCAGGTAGTGCCAATTACCACAGAAGAACCAGATCATCCAAAGCAAAGCCCAACCAAAACTACCTTGACATCGTTAAAAACTTTGTCTACAGCCCCAAAGAAGAATACATCATGACCCGTCCGAGAGATGAGTATATTGTGGCTCCACATGATGTGTTTGGTAAGCCTCCTGATGACAAGGATACATTTTACATGGCCATTTCTCCTGAAGTTAATCCCACAGAGGTTCAGTCCATCGACCACAAAGGTCTAATCTCAAAATACATTGACTACCTTCTAATCGAGAATGAGCACATCACAGAAATGTCCAAATCTGTTTCCATACCTATTGAGAATTGTGTGATGGATGACCCTTACTTGATGGACATAGTTCGAGTTAAGATTCCCTTCCCGACTCCAAAGTATCTACAATGGCTAAGCTCCTACTACCCCACCATTCAGGTAGACTGGCCAGCAATAAAAAAGGAACTGGCTGCCTATAATGGAGATGGAGGGAGAAAACCAAAGAGAACCTATTTTTTAGACCGCAGGCCCAGTCACATCCTTTTAGGGGAATCCTTCTATTTCTTCCAACGGGAGAAAGACAAGCAATCAACTGAGAAATGATTTCTGTGCTTACAAATTTATTGCATGAAATAATGCCAGTTCTTGTTTTGCTTATTAAGAGATTTCATGTTTTACGTCATATTTTTTTGCTGTCTACATAGCCAAGCTACACAAGGGATCACTGTTTGCCACAAAACACCATATTCTTTTCATTAATTCATGGATCTGACCAACATCCTTTTTAGGTCACCTGAGTCACTCAGGTGACCTATTGCTATCTATTTTATCCGTCGTCATTCGTGCGTTAACATTTAATCATTTTCAGCTTCTTCTCTGAAACGCTCAACCAATTACAACCAATTTTGACATATAGCATCTATGGGTGAAGGGGGACAAACATTGTGAATTTCATGGTCCCTGCCCCCCTGGGGCCTGAGGGATGGGGCTAAAACCACCAAAATTAATGCAATCTTTAAAAATCTTCTTCTTTACTCCTGGACATCAAGCAGTCAAACTGTTGGCATGATTGTAATAAGCATTGAGCCCTCTACCAAAATTGTGAAATTCATGGCCCCAGGGTCAGGGGTTCTGGTGTTAGGGTGGGACTATATAGATCATATAGTGAAAGTGCATTATTTCTTTGAAAATCTTCTTCTCTACTCCTGGGTATTAGATAAACTAACTAAGTACATAGTTATGTAGAGCAAGACTGCCTCTTCCAAAATTGTGAATTTCATGGCCCATGGGTCAGGGGTTCTGGTGTTAGGGCGGGGCTCTATTGATTATATAGTGAAAATGCATTATATCTTTGAAAATCTTCTTCTCTGCTCCTGGGTATTAAATAGACTAACTAAGTACACAGTTATGATGAGCAAGAGTGCCTCTTACAAAATTGTGAATTTCATGGTCCCTGGGTCAGGGGTTCTAGTGTTAGGGTGGGGCTCTATTGATTATATAGTGAAAATGCATTAAATCTTTGAAAATCTTCTCCTCTGCTCCTGGGTATGAAATAAGGAAACTTAGTACATAGTTATAATGAGCATGGCTGCCTCTTCCAAAATTGTGAATTTCATGGCCCCTGGGTCAGGGGTTCTGGTGAAGGGGGGGGGGGGGCTCTATTGATTATATAGTGAAAATTCATAATTTCTTTCAAAAAAAATTTTTCTACTCATGGTTATAAAGCAAAGAAACAAGTGTATAGTTATGATGAGCAAGGATGCTTTTACAATTTTTTTTAAAAACTTGTGGCCCCAGGGGTTCTGTTGTTTCTCTGAAAGGGGGGGGGACTCTATTTGTTAATATAGTGAAAATGTTTGAATTCTTTGAAAATTTTCAACTAATTGCATAGTTATGATGATGAGGGTACCTCTTCCAAATTCGTAAATTTTCAACATCTGGACCATTTAGTCAAGTGTTCTGGTCCTGGCCAGAGCTCTATTAATTTGTATTCTATTGAGTGAAGTTATTCCCCTTTGCCATTCACTTTTGATAATTAATCACTGTAGATAATGTATTTGAAAGGTTAATAGAATAAGAGAATTATGCAAGAACATTTATTGTATAATATAAAAAGTACTTTCATAGTTTTAATGATCAGGTAGACTTGGAAATAATAGATGAATAAAAATGAAACAAAACTAACTTATCTTCTTAAATGTTCTTCAAAGGCCAATTGATGCCAATGTGAGAGGTAGTAATATAGACATTTTAAAAATCTACATTTAGAAATCTACTGTTTGCTTTCTTCTCCGTATTTAAATGAGGAATTTGTCAAATACTAAAAAAAATATACATACATGTACATATGTATCATGCTTTTAAGATAAAGTTACAAAAATTAAATTTATATCATAATATATCTTTAGTTTGAACCTTTGAATGAAATGGCAGATTTATGAATTGCACCCTAACATAGCCTCCCCTGATATCTAATTTGTTTAACAGTTGACACAGTATGTATACTTCATGTTTTTATTGATGTATTTCTATTTCATTTTTGTTGGAATGATTTAATACAAGACATTTCATTTGCATGACTGTTGAAAATGTTTAACATCAGCTTGTACTAATATTTTATTTTTTAAAATATAATGTATACTCTTTCACTTGAGAAATTGTTCTTTTGTGTACATACCAATAAAAGCTTTGAAAGATGTATGGAAACCAGTTATCCTTGCAAAATTGTATACCGTGAATGACTAAAGGTATTACATTAGTGTGTAGGATATCTGGAGGAAATTGATTTTTGAACAAGTTAGGTAGATTTGATTAAGCACATTTCTTAATGTTCAAGATTATTTTTGTGTATATGTGAAGACATTTAACGTACTTGAACTATCGGAAGTTGCTTGCCGCCAAAGTTGCTAAAAAGAATACACAGCCAAATGTAATATGTTTACAGTATCTGAAAGTGTTCTGGAAAAAAATTAAGACACTAAAAAATGTTTCCAAATTTATTTGTGGAATGGAAGAATTTGAATAAAACACAAAAAAAACATATACCCAACACATGAAAAGGAGTGCAACAAAAATACTTAAAGATCAACACGGATTTCTTTGAAAAAATAACTATCACAGATGTGTATGGCTGTAGAGGTTTGCAGTGTAAGGTCCATGTATTTTACATTTTGAAATAACAGCACCTTTATATCCCATTACAGGGATAGGGAACATGCTTTTAAGTTTGGCACACAGTGATATCACAGATTTATTTACATAATATACCAAACCCTGTTTTTATTTTAAAACATAAAATGGAATGCATAATTAACACAAATGGCTTCAATAAATACTGACTAGAATGCTTATTACATTTGGCAGTCATTCCTATACTTAAATACAAGCACACACATACAAAAGTTACACACACAATAAATTATTATGAATTCAAAAATCTCTCACAATTGTAAAATAATCCATGCAGATGATAAGAGTTTCACATTTTCACTAGAATTGTTGAGACGAGTTCAAGTTTTGAGTTTTGAAGCCTTGCTGTGAGTAAAATCTAGGCCATTACAGTTGATTTCCTGGAGGATTTGCCCTGAGACCTGCTGATGGGGGTAGGGAGCTGGGAGGGTTTAAACATTGGAGGTTCTGTTGGTGGCAGGTAAAACTGGACCGACTTCCTCACTTTATCAATCCTTTCAAAACAAACTTCTTTCCATGCCAAAAATGCCTGAAAAATGATAGTTTATTTAACATTGGCCTTTTATTTCTAATTTGATTGAAAATAAATAAATTGATTCTCTTTAAAAGTACATGTATACTTTTTGTACATGTACCTGTGACAATATCTGCCTATCACTGTAGGCTGTCACTTTGTTTGCTGCACGACGCTTGGCAAATGCTATCCTCCATGTATCCCAAGATTGTAATAAAAGTCTCTCTTCCTCCTGTTAAATAATAATTTAGTTTTCATAGATTTTTAGTTAACAATGCATATAAATAAGCAAAGCTTAATGTTACAAATATAATTTTCTTTTTTTTTTAATTCTCTTATTGAACATCAACTGATATAGAATCAGAAGGGACTTGTGAAAACTCTCTGATCATGGTTTTTGCCTAGCAGATTTGTAATTTGTAGTTTCAAAGCAAAACCAATTTCGGTGAAGGTTTTAGTTGTTTCCATAAGTATATTATGAGAAACAAACCAGCAAATGTTAATAAGAAATGTAAAAGCTGCATATAAATTGAAGTCACCTGCAAAAAATATACACTTTTACTACATGTAATTAGAAAGACTCCTTGGTCTTGACTATCACCTGAGTATACCTAGTTTCAATAAAATGGATAGCCTTATTTATTTGATAACTTTAGTCTAACTCTAAGGCCTAGTCCCTGGGGACATAAACTTTATAATTTTGGTAATCATTGTCATCATTCTTAGAGTTTGTTAACTACCAAGGACAGATGAATTTCAAACATTTTTTTAAGTCAATATATGGCCAACTTAGCCCAACCCTGGGTACAAGAACTTTACAGTTTTGGTAGAGCATTAGCTGCCCATTATAATCAGGCAAAAAGTTTTACTGAGGATCATTAGCAGTAACAAGTTATTGAAGATTCGAAGACTGTGTTTGCAAATGATTAACAAAGCTGGATTTATAGAGTAGATAGCAGTAGGTCACTGGAGTAACCAAACAAGAGGCCCATGGGCCACATCGCTCACCTGAGCACAGTGGATAGGCAAAAGCACAAATCAGTTCAGTATTGAAAAGATTCCGGGGGGGGGGGGGGGGGGGGGGGGGGGGGCTTGAATTTTAAACTACCTGATGATGCTGCCATGTTAAAAATAACAAATGGCTTTGTTGTACTTGAGAAGATTTAAAAAAAAATTTTCTGATATATTCCTTTGTAAAAATTTGATCCCCCCTTGTGGCTCCTCCCTATCCCAGGGGTCATCATTTGAACAAACTGGAATCTACACTACCTGAGGATGCTTCCATATCAATATGACTAAACATAGCTTTTCTGTTCTTGAGAAGAAATATTTTTTCTATATATTCTTATGTAACATTCGATCCTCCATTGTGGCCCCGTCCTACTCTCGGGGGTCATCATTTGAACAAACTTGAATCTACACTACCTGAAGATGCTTCCATATCAATATGACTAAACATAGCTTTTCTGTTCTTGAGAAGAAATATTTTTTCTATGTGTTCTTATGTAAAACTTTCTATCCCCCTATTGGGCCCCACCCTACCCTCGGGGGTCATCATTTGAACAAAATTGAATCTACACTACCTGATGATGCTTCCATATCAAAATGACTAATCATGGCTTTGCAGTTCTTCATCAGAAGAAATCTTCCTATATATTTCTATTTCAGACTTTGATCCTCCATTGTGGTCCCACCCAACCCCAGGGGGGCAACATTTGAACAAACTTGAATCTACACTACCTGAGTATACTTCCACATAAATATGATCAATCAGGGCTTTGCTGTTCTTGAGAAGAAGATTTTTAAAGATTTTTCCTATATATCTCTATGTAAAACTTTTATCCTCCTTTGGGGCCCCACCCTACCCCCAGGGGTCATGATTTGGACATACTTAAATCTATACTACCTAAGGATGCTTCCATATCAATATGATCAATTAGGGCTTTGCTGTTATTTAGAAGAAGATTTTTAAAGATTTTTCCTATATATTTCTATGTAAAACTTTGATCCTCCATTGTGGCCCCGCCCTACCCCCGGGGGTCATGATTTGAACAAACTTGAATCTACACTACCTGAGGATGCTTCCATATAAATATGACCAATCATGGCTTTGCTGTTCTTGAGAGGAAGATTTTTAAAGGTTTTTCCTATATATTTCTATGTAAAACTTTGATCCTCCATTGTGGCCCCGCCCTACCCCCGGGGGTCATGATTTGAACAAACTTGAATCTACACTACCTGAGGATGCTTCCATATAAATATGACCAATCATGGCTTTGCTGTTCTTGAGAGGAAGATTTTTAAAGGTTTTTTCCTATATATTTCTATGTAAAACTTTGATCCTCCATTGTGGCCCCGCCCTACCCCCGGGGGTCATGATTTGAACAAACTTGAATTTACACTACCTGAGGATGCTTCCATATAAATATGACTCATCATGGCTTTGCTGTTCTTGAGGAGAAGATTTTTAAAGGTTTTTCCCATATATTTCTATGTAAAACTTTGATCCTCCATTGTGGCCCTGCCCTACCCCCGGGGGTCATGATTTGAACAAACTTGAATCTACACTACCTGAGGATGCTTCCACATGAGTTTCATCTTCCCTGGCTTTGTGGTTCTTGAGAAGAAGATTTTTAAAAGATGCTATTAATTTTTCACTAATTCTTTATTATCTCCCCTTGAAAGAGGGCGTGGCCCTTCATTTGAACAAACTTGAATCCCCTTCACCCAAGGATACTTTGTGGCAAGTTTGGTTGAAATTGGCCCAGTGGTTCTTGAGAAGAAGTCGAAAATGTGAAAAGTTTACAGACAGACGGACGGACAGACGGACTACAGACAAAATGTGATCAGAAAAGCTCACTTGAGCCTTCGGCTCAGGTGAGCTAAAAAGGTATTGACTAAATTTTCCCAAGTGTTGTAGATGAGTAAACTTATCAACAGATTGAAAGACAAAGGAGTATAATGAAAATGTTAACATTTCTATTTCCTCATTAAGACTGTTCCATCTAACCTGGTGCAACCTAACTATCTACCTGTACATTACTGTCACCTTCTCTGCTAATGTTACCCACCTTCAGTTCCTGTGAATGAAGTGTGACATGAGTCTTATTGTTCAAAAACAGTCAATAAATGTTTTGAAAAGGTATATTCATTGAAAACATGCCTGAGAAGAGTTATTTTTGTTACATACATTGTACTATATTTTAATCAAAAATTTAATAATAATTAATGTTATCAAATTTAAAAATAAATCTTTCATCAAATTATCTGCAAGTAAAACAATTTTGAGAATCAGAAAACTCCATCTAAATACACACCACACATTTAGCAGTGTACATCAAGTCCACTCGGTGTTTCCAGAGACTGCCATATTTCAATTGTAACCTCAGTTTGTGTCTTTGTAGCTGATGCTTGACCTTGACTTCATTGTGTAGGGCTCTGAAGGCCAATTTACTATAAGGAAGTTGATAAATGTTGATCAATTTGTAAAAAGAATGAACATTAAACAATGAGCAATATCCCTTCCAAAATTTCTTTCCTTGTGTTTATTTCTTACCAGATGTGTCTGTTGTGATGTAAAATGGCTTTCCCATTCTTCTGTCTCTCTATTTCCCGCTCTTCTTTCTTTTTCTCCACAAACCACCTCCACTGCCTCACAGTTCTCCTGGCTAGAAGATGGTGATAGCAGTGGCCTGCAATGATACGGTTCAGTCGCTTCCACCATACAGACAAGGCCAGTCTCATAGATTGCTGATTCTTCTCTGTTATCACCTGTAACCCAAGATTGAGGATCCCACAATGTTAAAGAAGCATAGACTTCACAGCAAGACAAAAGTGAAATTCTAAAAGTTTTTTTTCCCCCCAATTTTCTTTCAATTTCTTCTTATCAAAGTTCTGTTTTGAAGACTGGAATTAACTAGAGGTACTGTGAGCAAACTCACAAAATAATACCCCCCACTACAATTTTTTTAAAAGTGCCTACTTGCAATTTCATAAATGTATCCTTGAACTTTCGAAAATGACCTTGTTTAAAAAAATGACACATCCTCTTGTCAATGACTTTGGGTCAAGGTTATGAAACACCCTTAGCTCATAAATAATCTTTGTACAAAGTATGAGCTTCTGATGATTCTCCATTACAAAGTTATAGCCCAAACATGAATTCTATACCTTTCTGCCAGTGACCTTGAACTTGCCAAAATGACCTTTGATCAAAGGCACACCCTCAGGTCATAAACAATATTTGTACCAAGTAAAAGCTTCAATGATTCTCAGTTACAAAGTTATAGCCCGAACAAAAATCATAAAGAACTATAAACGGTAAGGGCGTATTCCTGCCCCCATAATAGTCAAATTTTGAAAATCTTTTGAAATGAGAAGAAGTGCATATATTGTATAAAATAATCCAAATTAAGACAATATATTATGAAATTGGAAAAATTAGCTGGCTTTACTTGTCTCTGTGACGTCACAAACTATTTGGATTTCCGTTATTTTTAAAATAGAGGCCAAAATGCACAGAGTTTGTTCAATTTTGACTATAGTTTTCATAGAGCGCAAGCTTGCTCAGGTACCATATTCACATATTTCATTGATATTATCATTCTACACATTATATCAAAAGATCTAGTCTGAGCAGACCTGCGCTCGATAATTTCCAATCAAAATACCGACGTAAAATACGCTATTTTCTCTCAAAATCATTGCAATTTGGAATTTACGTCATTTTATTGACGTCATATCTAACTAATGATGTCATAGTTGATAAAAATATTCAATGCTTTGAAGTCTGGAAATATCCACCTGGTTTAGAACATAATTAAAGATTTCTCCATCAAAGTTTTATTTTGGGGGCAGATACTGGCCACTACAGAATATAGTCCTTTTCTTCCAGTGACCTTAAACTTGCAGGAACACCATCTGGTAATAAACAATCTTTGACCAAGTATTAGGTTCCATGATTCTCCATTACAAAGTTTATAGTCTGGATAAGATTGCATGAACAGACAGACAAGTGATTCCTATTAAACGCCCCCCCCCCCCCAAACTTTGTTTGCAGGGGATATAATAATCACTTCCTATTCTAAAGTCAGTTTCTGCAACTTTTCATGTTCATTAGTTTAAAATCTCAGAATTCTGCCATGCAGAGGGGAAGAAAAAAAGAGAACAACAGAAATGCTGACCTTATTAGCAGTTTCATTGAGGTTCTGGCAATAATCAGCTCGTGTTTTCATGATGTACCATGCCCTCTTCAATGTGTTTGTCTGTATGTGTTTTGTCAGCACAGTCCCTAGTGTGGCCAGCTGTCGACGTCGACGAGCATACATATGCCACTCCCTCAGCACTCTGGTATTATAACAGGGAAAAAGTGTAAAATACATAAAGTCAACATGCTCAGTATTTCAAAATTTAACTGGTAAGAAAAGTAAGCATCGATTAACATAGTATTTATAAACTCTGAGGATTATAGATAACAGTGAATTGTACCTGATCTGTAGTTTGAGATGGCAGTGTTTCTTGATGTCATTCTGGACCTGTGTGAGGCTGTGCCAGTACTGGAAATACGTCTTCAGACTCTGCTGTTCTAGTGCTCTCTGATACACGGCACATGTCTGTCTCCTCTGTCTGGATTCTGTAAAAGAAAAACAGTTAAAACTTGTTACACTTGATGGCCTGATAATACATTACAGAAACTCTGGAATATTTGAACTTGGCTAGGAGAATCATTGAAGAATTCTTCAATGAAGAACATACCTGAAGCAAATACATGCCATTCACTAAAGAATGTTCCTAATAGCTTGACATTAAAGTGCCTTGTAGCCTGATTTGAGAGTAACTTGATTTTCCAGTCATCAAGGAAAGTTCCCAGAATCTTTCTATTCCTGCGAACAATGTACTTATTCAACTGATTCTCCCTTTCCAGGTTCCTCTCATAACCATACTTCCACTTGGCAAAACAGGTAGCAACCTATGACAGAAATACGTATACAGTGTGTACATTATTACTAGGGCAAATTCATACATGCATGTTCAACAAATTGATTTACATTAGACATAAGTGAAGCAAGTAGTAAGTAAAAATGGGCTTGTGAAAACCTAAATGTAGAGATGAAAATGCAATAACATCCCAGGATACATTGTCACAAGGCACAGGTTTGATCAACACTCGCTCCATGTATGGGAAGGAGTGGATTAAACCCCAAGACAAAGTAAATGAAATTTTGAATGCATAAAAAGAAAATACTATTTCAGATTCTAAAAAAAATACTCTAAATTTCTTCAATTTAAACAAGTTAAAAAAATACCTGTCTATACATGAACACCTGATGGAGTTGTCTGCCCCTTGCTTTCTGAGCCTGCTTCCTCCAATGTCTGCCATACTCCAACACACGTCTCCTGATGTATGCTTCATGCTCTTCATGCTGCTGTACACGCTCCAAATACTGAAAGTGCCAAATCTTGAACATCCTTATCACCTGAAAGCAAAAGTATAATTACTTTAACTTTGAATCAATTCTTTCAATCTTTTGTATGTGGCAATTGAAAAGTTTCAATGTATCTAACCTGTTTGGTATAAGACTTCACTTGGAATGACAGGACTTTCTGTCTCATTTGTTTCTTCCATTCCACTACTTCCTGCCACTCTCGGATTACTCTGAAACCACACAATACAAAATGACCACTATGTTCTCAAAAATAAAATAACACAACTATTTTTTTTTTTTGCATCACAGATTAAGTTGTTCTGACCTGATCATCAGTCTCTGCTGACACCACTTAGATAACTGTTGACATTTCTCAGTCTGGATTCTCCATGTTGCAAAAGTTCTCATCACAAGGTTTCTCTGTGAGGTCTGCATCACCATCACACTTGCCAGCTTTCTTTTCTTGTGTTCTGATATGCAAAAGTGAGAAATAAGTACATATCCGAACAAGTCTTAAGATTCTTATTTTTACTTTTCTTGTATCCATGTATTTTTTTGTATCCATGATATGGTGGCAATTTCATTTGCTGTTTTAGATTTACTAGATATATATCTTATTTTATATACCTGAGGCCCAGTGGTACCAACTCTGTAACATCAACCTCATGTGCTGTGTTTGAGTGTCCTTGACCTTTTGATCAATGACAACCATTTGTTGTCGACGAAGAACCCAAGTGTTAAAAGCCTAAAAAAAAACAAAACAAATGAACAATTGTGTCATTCAGCATCATTAAATAAAACTTCATATGCTTTATTATAGGCAGAAAACAATGTTGCACACATACCCAAGTTTGTACTCTGTGATTGCTGAAATTCTGGCTCTCCCTTCGCAACTGAGCTTTTCTTTGAGCCCATTCTCTCCAAACTTCAAAGAACCTGTTAAAACAGACTAGCGAATTAAATAGATTGAAGGAGATAGAGTTTCTTAGACACATACTCAGTGCTCACACCTCAAGCACTGAATTCGTAAATCTTCATGTATAATTTTTATAGGATTATGAATACACTCTTCATATACATTCATATTATTAAGAAATTTAATAAATACAGTATAGAAATTTTATGAATAAGTCCAACCTTTTCTGTATAATCTTATTATATATTTTTCTCAGTCTGTCAATCTGCAGGAATTTAAGCTGCCATACAGCAAAACACTTCCTTAAGGTCCTCATGGACAGTCTGTGATGAAGAGTATCTTCCAAGGGAAGTAACCCCTGTTCCTGTTCTGTTCTAGTGTTCCAGATACGAATAACACTGCGGGTATGTCTCATTTCTTGTGCCTAAAGCAATTAGTCATTGATGGTTTTAAGTAAAACATTCTAAAGAACTCAAAGTACAACTTAAGCAAATAAACCAAAACTAAACATTCAAATCTCTATTTCTATACCTTTTCAAACCAAACTGGAAATATTTTTCTGAACACCATTAATGAATGATAGTCATGAGCAAGTGCAGTCATCTCTTTCTTGTACTTCATCATCTTTTTGTTTTCCTGCAGTGCTTCAAAGACATGTCTCTTCAAACATTCCTCCTGTATTAATAAAATAGAATTTTTATGACATTTGAAGGTAAAAATACAATTGTCAATAGAAAAAGATGCCTCAATGACTGGAATTTTCTTCAAAACCAAACTTGTGTGGATATTTGTATCTACTCTTGTAATTACCCTGAACTGCCTAGCCTGAGTCTCTCTCTGGTAGAGTGACCTCCAAACCCCAAAGGTGAACTTTAACCTCTGTCTCTGTATGACATCACTGGCCTGTTTACAAAGTGTTCGGAGCTCCCTCTGGTGAACAGTGTACTCCCACCACTGATCAAAAATAATACTGACTGGCCAGAATTGAATCCTCTTCACAGCTGTTGTCACCAAGGTCTAAAAAGATAAACTCACCAAAATTATTTTATTGTACATATTTTACAAGTATATTTATCCAAAACGTTCAATTAAAAAATCAAACAAAATGTTTAAATATTCTCATCCATCTGAACAAAAAGTAAAAGAAACTTGGAAACTCACCTTCATTCTTTCTGTCTTGACTGCCTGTTCCATCTCAAATCTGGCATCAATAAAACTGGTGTTAACGAGGGAGGGTTTGAGGTCCATTTCTGGAATGGACCTATCCAAGTCAAGACTCACACGACTCAAGGCTGGAGAAAATAACCTAAAAATAAAAATACCTACTTGTACATCCCTGACCAAAAATTTATAACCATACACTACCAAATTACAATCTTTTAATATATTTTCTAGTTTTGTAACCCCCCACCCCCACTCCCGACTGAAACTCAGTAATAAATTATATTTTTATGAACCATAGCAGTAAGTCATAGTGATATCACTCTGGGCATAAGAGAAAGTCATGCAATTTATCAGTTTAATATACCGGTAGTATACTTCAAATAAAAAACACATTATAAAGTACAGTAACTGAAAGCAAATACCAAAAGAGAATACTCAGCATAATGGTTTGAAGAATACATGCACTTTTAAATTAAACAGAACATCAATAAAAAAAACAACAACAAACATTTAGTAAAATGTGTACATAGTAATGATGGTGTTGACTTGTGGTATAGCATGTCACTCAGTGGAGTAACTTGGTAAAGATTTTTCACTACCATTTAATGCAATATTTCAATCCTGACTGGTCAAAGATGTGTAGCAGTGATTAGATGACACAGCAATGAAGTATGTAGGAATATCAAAGTAAAAATGATGATGAGAATTTAACCCTACCTTCAATTGTACAACCTAATTACCTTTCAAAACAGCTTTATGTGTTGTGTTAAAAATCTACCTGAGAACTGATAAATGAATAGATGCTGAAAAGTTTAGTTGTGTAAGGTGAGGAAAATTTCATTTCTTGGAAGAAATAAATGAAGATCATGCTGCACGGAAGCCACAATCACTCAAGAGACAGACATAAGTCTGGCTTCTAAGACCTACCTCTTCTTTCTGGGTGATTCCAAAATACTTGAAAGAAAAGGGAGAGTTTTAAATATTGGTTTTTGTTATAATTTAAATATGCATCAAAATATCTTTTATCTTCCAACTATTTTTTATTATTTCTCCTCCTTATAGCTAATAATCAGTACTGAATGTACATGTAGATGCTGAGTGTTTAATTTTGTCTTAGTCTCTGAGTGATCTCCCTTACCTCTTCATGGGCGTGCCCATTGTAGACGATGCCACAGGACTGTGTATTCCACTGGTGTTCTCACTGGCCAGTATCATGTCTGTCAGCAACTGGAGTCTCTCAGGTGTCTCTGCTATACAAGAGTATCAAAAAATGGTCAGAAATCCAAATCAGAATCCAGACTGGTAATATGTACTGGTATCCCTCGACAGAATTTCTATGAAATTTTGGTCATAGTTTGGCTTATTCTTGGAATGGATTTCTTTTAGAAAATTAGATCTCAATACTCATCATTTAAAAGTAGGGATAGTAAAAACTTCTCCTGGACCAAAAGTGATTTGAAAATGAGTTCTGCATTTAGGAAACAATCAGCATTATGATTTTATATTATTATGATCCCCAGTGTAAAACATTTGAAAGGTTTAATTATTTTGCAGTTAATTTTTTAAAATAATATACAAGAATTACTTGTTCAACCCACCAGAATCTCCTGAAGTACTGAGGGCCTCCCCAGAGTAGTCTTCGGGAGTTTGTAGTCCAATACGGACAGCAAATTCATGTACTGCTTGTTTGATGCCCCTCTCTGAGATACTACGCCATTCCACAATCACCTGTATCATCAGCTTCCTCTGTAACATCTTCTGGTGTTCTCTGAAAAAAACAGACATCTATTCTTACAGCACATCTTTTATCTAATATTTGTATGAGATTCAGGCATATTCAGATAAGAAATGCTTCTATTAAATTCTATTATCAAATGTGCATGCATTTCTTAATGCAGAGCTCTGAAGCATGAAAGAATAATAAATGAAAGCTGGCAAAATGTAAACTCTTTGGGGGAAAAAAATGCAGATAGACATTTTACTACAGAAATTTGGAAATTTTGACAGACTGAATAAGACATACAATGTACAAGTATAAGCTTATGGCTACTGTACCTTGCAACAAGTGTGGCCCTGAGATGGTGTCTCCAGAATTTAAAGGAGGACTCAATCTGTTTATTCTTTTGGCTCTCCTCTGCCCTGTCTATAATGTCCTGTTCATATCTCCTCTGTTGTTGTGCATTGGTCAGCCACAAATTGAAATAGGATTTGAGCAAGAAATTGTTGTATTCCTAAAATAAACAAAGCAATGTACAAATGAATCCTTAAAATATTCCAATAAAAACTCTTCTAAACTGGCCATCAATATTTCTGTATTATTCTGCTGTATTAAACATCAGAATTAGAAAATAAAAAAAACACCAGAATTGAAAAAATGTATTTTGAAACATACAGAGACATTCTGGGGACTGAAACATTTTGCTGGAAAACAAAATACCGGTATGCCAAAACATCAAATATCCAGACTGAGCAATTTTGGGTATTTACATGCTTTTCCTACTATACATGTACTGGTGTAGCTTTAGTAGAATTTAAAACAGAGCATTCAGTAAATAAGAGTGTGAGTGATGTGGAAATAATTTTTTTGTACCTGTTCCTCTTTTGTAGCCAGTCTCTCTTTCATCTTTTTAATGGCCTTGTAGTGCCACTCTACAAATGTCTGCTTCAGAAGTTGTCTGCTGTGGAATTGCTGTGCTTCCTTCTTTCTCCTGATCACTTCTCTCCATCCTGTCAGACACTTCCTCACAAAGCCTGCTTCTACTTTCTTTTTCAAGTCTTTCTCCACAGCTTGCAATAGAAATTGTCTCCTGTAATAACAAGAAAGCATAGCTTTGATAGCTACCATTGTATTCAATACAAAGGATTGTCTGCAAGGATGTATTAGCATTAAAATCCAAATATACAGACTTTAGATACAATGCATGTCTGACCTCCAGGCATTGAAGCACTTTCTGAGTTTGGATTTCATGAAGATCATGTTGTTTCTTCTACAGTCTTTCTTCTGCTGCACCAAAGAATGCCAAGCTTTAAATGAACTGGAATAATGAGAGAAAACACGTCAGAGCTTGAACATATTAAAAGAAAATTCTCAACAATACAATCAATTTTTCTTACCATCCCTGGAGTTTTACCATAGTAAAAGATTGTTTGTTTAAAATGTATAAAATTCCTGGAGTAAAAGGTAATTTGATAAATATGTGTCCAAGACTTACTCTGTAACTAGCACTGTCTGCCTGCGCTGGACCAGCGGTCTGATCCGTATCCTCAGTAACGTCTCTGCCTTCCAGTGACTGAAGCGAGTTTCTAGCTGCGTCCTGTCTAATATTGCCCTCGTCTGTTCCACCTCCTGATTCTCTGACTCAATCTGCTCCTTTACGTTCAACCACTTCTGGAACATTCCTGTAGGGGAACAGTCAATCAAAAAGTTAATCCTAGTACTTATGAACCAGGTCAATTGAGGAAGACTTAATTAGAATTATAAAATAATTCAATTATTTCAAAAATTTCATGCATCAAAGTAAATTAACAACTCGAGAATAGTCAAGAAACTATAAAACTATTTCATCAAGATATATTTACATCCACTGAATATTTTCTCCTTTATTTCTAAAGAAAACCATTGCCATTTATCAGTTTGTGAACACTAGGCATATCACCTGTACGGATTTCTTGATCAGTGGCTCCTCCATCAATGAAATGTACAATGACGTACATACCAATAGTACAATAATCAATCTTTTAAATCCTACTTTAAATGATTATTTATACAGATATAAATATAAACAATAAAATGTCTTTCCTTGGTTGTTAGTACGGGAATTAACATCGCAGCTATTGCAGAAAAAATTTACATAACCCGCTTACACAGGTTATGTATTTTTTCTGCAATAGCTGCGACATTAATTCCCGTACTTACAACCAAAGAAAGCATTTTATTGTTTAAGAAAACACTAGGCTTTCTTAACAGGTCAAACTGTTATTGATTACTTATCAAATACCATCTTACGTTTGAGTAGATTCTGTTTTCTGATTGGCTCTGTATCACTGAGCAGCCTACGTAGTGATCTCTTGTGACAGACCTTCTTCCACTGCACAACTGACTTCCTATAAATTCATCATGTATGTCACAAATGAAACCATTCCAAGATAAAATGATTTGGAAAGTTAAGTTTAATGTTGATTAATTTTTATTTTTAAGTCTAAAAACTACCAATATTTTCCAATTTAAATATGTCTTAATTGTTTAACATGTTAAATTTTGTTGTTATTTTTAAACAAGTGTTAATTTTTCAACTCAGAAGCCCAAAATCAGCATGCACAAAACTTGACAATAACCTGGAAGGGGTTAGAATATCAACATGTTAGCTACCTGGCACAAGTATTAGACCAAAACGTTTGAGCACGGCGTAAATTGAGCCTCTCTTCCACTTGCCGTTTCCATAGAGACATAACCTTCTGTTGTATTTTAATGTTCAAGCGATATGTCAAAGTCTCCTGAATTGTTCTGAATGAAAACATCACATAAGTAGCTAGTTGAAGCATTAAAGTTAAAACACATGTCAAATTTACAAATATTAGATAACAAATTATAGTATATATTGCAACCACTTGCAATAATGAAAATGCTCACAATATATTGTATTATACATGTTTCTCCAGATGATAATGATGAAAATTTTGAACATACCACCACCATGACTCAATGAAACCATGCAATGACAAGACTTCAACAAAACAAATGAGTAATTTCTCAGAAAAAAATAATCCGACTTACATCTAAAAAAAATCAGAAAAAAAAATCATATCAAAAGCATGGTCTTTTAATGAGTAATAAATTTTCAGTTTAAAGTGTAGATCGATCCTCTATTTTTTCTTAATTTTTGCTGTTCTCTATCACTACAAAAATTTCAAAACTTCTAAGACTAATATTTAGCAACTATAAAATATATTATCAAAAATTAACATTTATTTATTAACAATTGAAAATGTTTAATATGAACCATTGAACATTTTATTTCTCCTTAACAATCTTACTGAATATTCTGATGGTTTGTCTGAGAAACTTATCACAACCAATAACCAAAAGGGTGGAAATAAAACCAAAAATGTGTAATAAATAAAACTCAAGCAAAATTATTCGAATGCATTACCTTAAAAATGCCATCTTAGTGCTAAAAATATTAACCATAGATTTTTACTGATTTATCTCCATGTTATTTTTGCGAACTTTTCAGATTTCTTCTCTGTTACTTAACTTAAAGGTGAAAGGAATGAAATGGAAGGGATACGAACTCTTTTGGTTTGGGTTAACAAAATTTCTTCAAATAGCACAAAACATTTCAAAAAGCATGCAGGTGAGGGATACTTTAAAACTGTTCAATCTTTAAGGAGTTCTGACCAGTAAAATTGTACTTGGCAAAAATCTGGTGAGGATGAAACTTGATGTCAGTATGATCACAGCAGACATGGCCTACCTGAGCTGTCGTTTGTGCTGTGTGTAGTTTTGCCAGCCGTGCAAACTATGTCTCACTAAGACTCGCTGCAGGAAAACCACTGCTGCCTCACGACGCTTCTTCAATACGGCCACATTTTCTTTCCAGCAGTTCAGAGAAGTAGACAGGATTTTGTGTCGGATGCGAGCGTGAATTTCTTCTCGATATCGAACCTGATGTTGCCAGCTTGTATTCCAGATAATAAATGCATTTCTGTAGAACAAAAAAATTAACAAACTTTGAACTTTGTACAAGCAATATTTATGTATGGCACATTTTCTTCATTCTTCATTTCACAAACAATATCCTAGAAGTCGCCTCACTCTCCTTGCAAAATAAGTACTGGTATATAAAACACTTTTTTTTCAATTATTTATTGCAATAGTTTATTAACAAAACAAGAGGTCTGTGAGCCAATGCTCACTAGTAATACCCCTGCTTTGATGTGAATATACATTCTGATGTGAATGTACACAAGTTCATTTATGGACAGACACAGGGATGAACAAGAAGTTAACATCAGATTCGTACAAAAATGAATCCCACCATATTGCAAGCCTAAACAAAGAGTGTGCTAAAATTTCAAGCCTCTGCAGTCAGTAGTTGCTGAGAAAACTACAACGAAAATTTGTTATGTATGGTACGGACAGACACATGGATAAACAGGAAGTTGACAATGGATTCGTACAAAAATGAATCCAACCATATGGTATGCCTTAACAAAGAGCGTGCTAAAATTTCAAGCAACTGCAATGAGTAGTTGCTGAGAAAACTGCAACCAAAATTTGTTATGTATGGTATGGACAGACGCATGGATAAACAGGAAGTTGACATTGAATTCATACAAAAATGAATCCCACCATATGGCATGCCTAAACAAAGCGTGTGCTAAAATTTCAAGCATCTGCAATGTGTAGTTGCTGAGAAAACTGCGACCAAAATTTTTTATGTATGGTACAGACAGATGCACGGATAAACAGGAAGTTGACATCAGATTCGTACTAAAATGAATCCCACCATATGGCATACCTCAACGTGGGTGCTAAAATTTCAAGTCTCTGCCATGAGTAGTTCCTGAGAAAACTGTGACGAAAAATTTGTTACAGAAAGACAGACAGACACACAAGGGTAAAACAGTATACCCCCCTCTCCTTCGGAGCAGGGGTATATAAAGTAGAGGTAATGCCTCTAGTAAAAAAAAATAGTAAACCTGGAGGACAAACCTGACAAGTTTCTGATTGCCTGCTTTGATTGCTCTCTCAGTCAAAAGTAGGTCATGCCAGTGCTGGAAGCGATGCTGGAGCTGGTTTTTTTCCCAGTGTTCCTGGCTCAGAACCAGATTCATCTCATACTCCTTACGACTGATAGAGGCTGCCTGCTTCCATTCAAGTAACAGTTTTTGAAGAAAATGGTCTCTGAAAATCAAGAATGCCATGGACGTGTTATCATGAACAGTTTTGATTTTTGTTTATAAAACCATCTAGACGTGATGGTTATATTAGTGGAATAGAATAATGAAAGTTATGAAAATGATAGCTTCATATAATACCTTTTTATCACAAAACTCACAAATATTACATCCAAGCAAAAACTACCAATTTACAATACACATGATTCAAGTACACTGTACATGTGCTAGCTTTTTCTTCATATTTAGATTTATAATTCAGAGGAAAAAAGCATCACAGCTTCAAGACCTAAAAATCAATCATTTGAAAACATTGAGACAACATGTACCTGTGATGAAGTTTGGCCAGGGACATTTTTCTGTACTGTATCACCATGCTAGTTAACATTTTACTCTGTAGTCTCTCACTGTACAAATTTCTACAAAATAAAAATATCCAAGTTCAATTTTTCTTCCATACCGGTAATTCCTCTTCCATATCTAACTTAACATGTACCTAACATGGCTGATTGTCTTGGTTTTACTGTAATCATACCTAGCCATCTCATCTCTTCTCTGTTTTTCTTTAGACTCCAGGGTGTAAATCCTCCATGCTGTGAGGCTCTGAGTTAAAACCCTCCTCCTGAAATCAGAGACAAGGACACAATACAACACAGCATAAAAAAATGGACTCCCCACATCTTTCTGACTAAAAAGATTTTTGTTAAGAAATATGAGCATTCCTGTCTTATACCTGAAGTGATTATGAGCCGAGTTCTCTTTAACTCGAATCTGGAACTTTTCTCTCCAGGTGTTCATTGTTCGGATCAACAGCTTGTGATCCATGGAGTCTTGTAGGTAGCGAATTCTAAAAAGTGGGAAAAAGAGACATTATTTCCCAGAAAGGCTTCCTTATATTTATAACACAGTATACGTCCTGATGTTAAATATGGAAATAACAACAACAAACATGTTATACTGAGTAATGTAAGTACATGCAATAACAATTATAAAACTATTGACGAGGAAAACTTGTTATAAATAGTTTAATTTTCAAGCCATTCCTCATGTTTCACATATTAATGCAATTCAACATCTACATTAATAGAGTCTAATTTTCTGACCCCTTCTTTGTCTGCAGTATTTTCCATTTCATTTAAACCAGACCAACTTTCTCATTAAATCCGTGTTTTAATGTGGTAGAAAATCTTAAAACACACTGTGATAAACACGTGATTTGTCTAAATGATTCAGGTACACAGGTACTTACTTTGTAATCTTGGTGTTAAGTCTATGAAATATGAAATTCAGTCTAATAAGGTTGATATTGATTGATATCAATGTCAGAGGAAAAATTACATATAAAAGTAGGTAAGACAGCTAGAGGAATAATATTGATGATATTTTTCCATTTTGCTCTTTTAGTACTCAGCAAATTTTAAACCTTATATATGCAGACTTAAAATTGTTTTACAATTTTCATGTCAAATTTGCTAAATTTTGATACATGTATTGCTAAAAGAAGGATATTTTTAATAAACAAATTTGAAAAGTCCCTTAAAGTAATTCACTTATCAAAAGATTCGGATGACTATAGCTTCATTTTATAAAGGATATCCTAAATCTGAGTGACAATTAGACCCGAAAATCTACGTTTAGTTATTGTTTGATACTAGTAACAATTAAAACATTAACAATTAAAGATGAAAACTAAACACTTCTTCCTGAAATCACACATCTTGCCCTGCATAAATTCCTTTGGGCTAACAAGTTAAAACAGAAATAGTGGTAAATATGCTATTAATATGGTACATCACAAAAAAATACACAAGAAAATAGATTCTGTAAAAGCTGTTTCTCTTAGCTTAAAGACCAAAAGATGAAATTACTCTTCTTTAAAAGAAGCATGAAGAATAAATCAATTTAAAACAGAATATTTTTTTTCTTTCAACCACCAAAAAATTATCCCCAACTATGCCCCAATTCATGACCCCACGACCTTGACTTTATTAAGGTTGTGTCAACCTTTGATCTAAGACAACAACATACTGAGGATTTAAGTACCTTCAGAACTCTTTAGAATTATTAAACAAGCATAGTTTCAACATATAAAATCTTAAGCTTATGGGTTACAACATATTAGGTCAATGTTCAAATATCTTTAGAATATTAAGTATAATTCTGGATACAACTTTGGAGGAGACAACAATATTGTTCTAACAGCCTTATCATGCGACTAATAGCGAGATCAAATTTAAAGAATGGAGAGGATAAAAAGAAGACAGAAATTAGATAGAATACACACATTTACTGTACACTGGAAAACTTCTGCCCATTGCATCAACATCCTCAATGAGTGATTTAAACAATGTATGTTACTTCAAATTGGTATATTTTGTGCGACTTTATTTTGCATGACAAGAGCACTGTCGTTATTTATTAGGTATATTTTTGCATATCTTTAATTCAAAACCAGATACACGTAATTCATGTCCAACCGTTACCATCGAAAAAAAAATATGCAAAAGCAATGTTCTCCCTATTAAATATTATTTATAGTACCCTAACAAAGGGCACATAACTCGAACAAAATGACTCTGGATCAAATGCCAAACAAATAATTCCCAGTATACAGTAGTTTATTACATAGAAAAGAAATGCCATAATTCTAAATATAAATAACATAACAGAAAATCTAAAATCTATACAAACTGTTTTGCTTTTCTATGAAAAAAAAAATGGATAATTTAATTGCACATTTTTCATGCATGAAGTGCAAACTTTCATTTTGTAAAGCTTAACTGAAATCACTATGTGTTTGTGAAACAGTTATTGTCTTTCACAGAGTTAAGAAATAGACTGGCATGTTGCTATCTGACATATAGTATTAACCCTTGACACCTTAATATAAAGCAATCACTGTTAACTAACATTATTCGCAAAAACTTTTATTATTTTTACGTGTTTTGTCAATTGAAATTCATCTGCAACTACACTGTATTAATTTCTGTTAATGGGGAAACATACTGTATAAAATTAACTTAATTTAAGGTTCCCAGTGACAAACATTTGCAAAACGAAGAACATCTCAAAATTCATGGATATTTTCACAAGTGAATAAAAGTTTCTTTACAGTATAAGGTCACTATCTGATCATGTGCAGTTTCAAAGTTATTAAAATTAAAGATGTTGACAATCTAACCAAACCAAATCATCATAACTTCTATTTCTAAATAAGTTATTCAATTTCAAAAATCTTTTTGAATATATAGAGACAATGTTTTGAGTTTTATAAAGTGCAGTGGATCTACTGGGATTCTGGAGCTATGACTGTTATACTGGGTGCTGTGCTGTAAAAAGCTATTAGTCAATATTCCAAATAATTGGACATGGTGGTGGGGGGATAGATGGAGCTAATGTTATTCAGAATATTGATAACTTACTTCTGCGACTCCTCTGTAAAATGTCTCCATCTGTCAAAAGTCTTCTGCATTCTCCTCTGCCGACTGATGTTAGCTTGGTCCCTCCACTGATTGTTTTAACAAAGTTTTAAACTTCTTATACTTAAGTGTATAACAATGTTCTACCAATGGTTGACTAAATGAACCATGAAAATTCTTTTTCTTGCAGATTTCATTACCGTTAAACATTATATACAGAGCAGCAAACTTTCAGCACCCCACCCCCTCCCCAATTTAAAAAGCAACACATTCACACAAGAATACTGATGATAAGATACTCATACACATATCAGAATCTATTAATGTCTCAAATAATGTTAGTTTTCTGACCTTGTAGAAGGTAGCTGTGACCAGTACTCCTTTTAGTTTATTCTGATAAATGTCCACCATGATTCTTGACCGGTTGATGGCCCACTTAAAGGCATTCATTCCTTTTTTCAGAGAGTGTAACCTATGGAGGTTGTCTGCAGCCCTGATGATTACATGCTCAGCTGCATTTTTCTTCCATTTCAGAAAAAAATCCCTCTGGACTCTACGGCGATGAAACATTTCAGCACTGCAATGATAAATGTGTCTCAATATTTCTTTTCCTAGAGTGATATAGGCAAGTAATAATGCTTTACATGTCTACCATATTTATCCATAAATTCCAAATTTCCCTTAAAGACTTTTTAACACTTTACCACTGCAACCAGTTTTCTAATTCTATAGTGTTTAGCTTTGACACTCACCTTTGCAGACAGACCCCATAATTTGCTGTGTCCAGAAGCTGTGTAAAGCTCTCAGACACGGAGGGGAGGACCAGATTAGTGGCCCGTCCCAGTCTCCTAGCTATTCTAGCACTATCAGTCACACACCTGCTAGCAGAACACGTCACAGGCTGAGAAGCAGGCACACTGGCCACACGTGCAATACTGTCTGAGAAAATCTTAACTTGTGGGTCAGCATTAAAATTGGCAAAGTGTGTCTGAGGGTAAAGTATTTTGTCTGTGCTTTGAACTGCTTGACCAGTGCTATTTCCCCTTGTTACCCGTGATCGAGGAGTTGGGGGATTTCCATTTTCTCCAGGTGAATCTTTCTGATTTGCTGGACATGGTCTAACAATGGTGAATGCGGAGGGTCCATCATTCAAATGAATACTGGAGAAAGGTTGAATATTACTTTGCACTATTTGGGTGTGTCTTTCTAAATTCTCCTTTGTAATAGGTGCAACCTTTGTGGTAATTTTTTCACCTGGTGTGCGATGCTCACCAAACCTTGTGTCATATCTTATGAAATTAGTGCCTTTATACTCTACAGTGTTCCTATTTAAGCCCACACCATTTTGCTCATAAGTTTGCAGATTGTCATGTGGAAAACTCAACAAAGCATTGTCCCCAATGTCTGTCTCAGTCAGCTGTGCAGAGCCTAGCAAACCACCCAGCCCCTGTCTGGGGCCCCCTACATACGATTCTTGGCCAGACTGGGCGTAGGGATCCTTCTCATCTATGGACTGCATTGACTGCACATTCTTCAACCACCTTCTAAAGCACTTGGCCTTCAACATAGAAGCAGAAAGGATTTCAATCAAGCACCAAGGTACTCATATTGAACAGTTAAAATTCATCAATCTCATTTATTTTTTCTTTATTATATAAATGCAAAAAAAAGTCAGCATTTATACCTGTATGCTAATATTGTTTTGGTTGAATGGAAAATACCTGGGTAGCAAAAAATAGTTTTGCAACACACTTTTTGAGCAAACTGAACAAGAGGTAAATAAACCATTACCTGCATACAGTATTTGAACTAAGAATATTTAGAGAACAGTTATGTCATTTATCTTTAACAATGATGCATACAAACAACTGGCCAAATTATTTCAGTTTGTACCTGTTTATAGTTTCAGTACTTATCTTACTTTAAGAACAAGGTCTTGTCTAGTTCTTGGATCCACGTTGTACAGCTTCCTTAGAAGCTCGACGGCCATGATAGTTGAAGACTGAGATCCTGTAGATCGGACTGACCCACTCATACTTCCCTCAGTCGGTCTGTAAACATTTCCACAATCTCAGTTATTGTTTATACAAAATATGAACATCTGATAATATAACTCTAATTTTTTGTATGCATTAATTTATTGACCAAATACTAGTAATCACCAATATTTCAATAAATCTTCATATACTCACTGAATAGTGATCTAGTGACAGAAGTAGAGTTACACAGAATATATATGTACCAGTAACTGCAAACAATGAAACACATTTAATCCAATGAAATTACCATACCTCCATCCACCTTCTCTCTTGGCCCCTTCAGTCTCTGGGTTCCTGGGACCAAACACAGCCTTCCTGGTGGTTTGAGCAGTAGGACCCTCCATATCCACCACCCCTGTCATCTTAGGCTCATCTGTTCCCTCCACTATCTCATTGACTTCCAGGTCATCTCTGTCCCTGCTGGGTTTTTTGTGCCTCCTTGATGTAACTTTATCATTCTCTTTTGAAGAATCAGAAATGTTGAGATCTTCTTTCAATTCTTTGATATTTTTCCTGATTTTTTCCTCTGACTTTTGTCTTTCCTTTGTTTTTCCTCTGCTAGATTTGATTTTACTTGGAGATGAAGCCAAGTCCTGCAGGGTTAAAACACCACCATCTCCCTTGCTGGCCGACTGAGGAGTTCCACTAACACTGGTACGTGAAGTCTTGCCTGAACGAGACTTTGTGAAGATTACTTCCCCTGTCCTAATTCCTTCACATAGTCCCAGTCCTTTAGAGTTTGGTTGTTTGCTCAAAGATTTCACAGTTTCAGAGGGAGGTTCCTTTGTTGATACATATGAAGGATGATAATGAGGAACATTAGACTGTATTGAAACCTTTCCTATTTTCCTATTTAGGGTACTTGTGGAGCCCATAGTGTCATTTAAAAGAAGACCTGGTTCCTGTAATGGATTCCTTTGGCACAATGGAATTTTATCACAGTTTGTCTGACAAGGGGATTCCTTCTGTGGAATTTTGTCAAGATCAGCATCGTTTTGATGGCTAGCTTCTCTCTGTTGGCTTGACGACCTTATGCTAGTTCTTTCTGATAAAAATTTATCTAGATAATCCTCATCTCTATTTTCACTTTTGTTTTCAGTTTTTGGCATATCAACCCTTCTTTCCTGGTTGTTATGCGAATAAGATGCACTTTGAAGATGAAGCTGAGCACGGTAATTCCTGTATGACATCCTAGCGAGTTTTTCATCAGCCAACCTACTGAGTAATCTCCGGGCTTCCCTTGACCTCGGTAATCCATTCTCACTTGGTGGACCCCCTCCCTCTGTGTCCCTGATGTGAGGCCTCCCCACTTCACCAGTGTACCTATTCTCAAAGTTCTTTCTATTTCTTTCAGCATCTCGTTCAGAATCTTTCTTCAGAAGTTCCCTAAAAGCAGCCATCTTGTCAGTGAAATCAAAGCCTGGTGTTGGTTGGAAATCGTCGTCACTGTCCAGAAAGTTGAGCCTTCTTCTAACGGCTTGTCGTACAGATGGTCGAGGCACTGCATGGGCCTCAGGGACACCAATTGGTTTCTTTGCTGATACACTCACTAAGTATGTTTCATTTTTCTGTGCACTGTCCCTCTTTCTTGAGGAGGAACCCCCTATTTTACTCCTATCTAGCACGGGGAGATCACCAAGTCTCCTCTCCAAGAACAACGATGAAGTCATCATTGGAGTTTCATTTCACATAACCTAGGTTGTCTCTTTCCATTCATTTAAATTTTGGAAAGTCATTTTTAACACTGCTCAACACTTCCTTTGTGTTTCCTGAAAAACAGAAAAAAAAAACATGAAGGTACAAATTCTCATTATCTTTATCAAACATTACACACTGAGTTCAGTAGATCAGAAAATTTCAGTCATTAAATTCCACTTTTCAAGTATTAAATCAAGATCAAATTCAGGTGGTGGCATGGAATTTTAATTTCATTTTACATTTAGACTAAAATAAGAACAACCCACACTTTATCTTTAAAATCAGTTTAAATCATGGCATATAAGCCAGGTGTGTGTCATCTCGGCCAATATTAAGGCAGTCAGATAATTCACATACCAAAACATCAAGAAGCTTTAACTTTTCACAAAATTTACTTTCTCATCTTAGAAACAACCCTTAATACCCGTTAACTTCTATGAGATAATTTTTTTTTTCAAGTAGCAATGGTGATTCACTCACCAGGTAAGGTTCTTTGAAATGAAACTTTTGCCAACTTCTTCAGAAACACCCCATCAGGTTTTTAGCAGTGTAATGTTACATATACAGATATCTGGTAAATGTCACCTTGCTATACTAGTAGGTTCAATAAATCATTTTCTTATGGTTTTGTTTTTAAATTGAGACTTGTACTTAATCTCAATTTTGAAATATAAGCATTTCCTATTTTTTTGTAATTGTCACTGAGGTACAGGGTACTAGTAGAAAAAGGGGAACTAACTCAGATATGCCCAAACCGAGACAGAGGGGTCTGACAGCTGAAAGGCCTAATAATACCAAGATAGGATATGTATACAGCTATAACTCAAAGGCAGTTTTTACAATTTATTATATGTCTGACTATCCGGTCTCAATATTAACGTTCTTTCAATTGTGCGTATCCAGTTCATTTTGTGATTGTACAAGTCAATCTACCGTCACACGTTATTGTCCGACTGGACGATACATTTTGTACAAGTATTGAATATTGTAAATATAATTTTAAAAAATCCCACTGAAATCATTAAATTTTAAAAATTACAATCATAGGGTGCAGTCAGCAGTGTGACTAGGTCACAGACAGTACTACTGTATTTAAGATGTCATGTTTTTATTTTCGTGATTAAACAAATCTTTAGATATCAAAATTAATTATACTACCTCATTCTTGAAAAAAAAGTTTTACCTTTTTTTAAACATAACCTCAGAGTGGGATAAGTCTTGGCAATTTGTCTGATGGCCAAGTGGACATTTCAGTTAATGTTAACCCTGACTAATCAACAACAATTGAAAAAAAGAAATCCCAAAAACAAATAAATATTGAAGTATGACTTTGAACTGATAAATCCCCCCCCCCCCCCCAAAAAAAATAAGAATGATTCAATTTCAAAATACAATGAAATGAAATTTAAAATAATAAATTAAAATCAATTTAGACTCCATAGTAGACAACTGGCAGACTGGTGAATAGCTAGTGTAACAAACTTCGGTAGCATTGATTTACTTCAGCTATAGTTCAATACAGAAACGTATCTCTTTATTTTTACATTACCTCATATGATATCTCCATGCAGAGCAGATATTTAATTGGTGAAATCAATACATTTTCAAAAATAAAAATGGTTCATCACTTGACATTCATGGCACATTATAAATATTTAAAAGCAGTTTTTCTGCTTATCAATCATTCCCTTACCTACAGCAACAAACTCTACGGACAAAGGAAATTTCAAAATTAAAATACACAATATCGGACTGAAAAGAAATCCTTTTACTTAAGTGCATGTCATAAACTGCACACAGAGCATTCTATAAAAGCTTTATTCAAGGTTTTGTCTGAATCTCAATAAGTAGACAGTGCAAAATTCCTTTTTAAAGCTGTACGTGGAGTTTTATATACTACGGAACCAGGGCATTCCAATGTTGTCTGGTGTACGATAGACACAAAATATTAGTACACTGTATACATATTGAACAGGTATTATTTACGACTTCAAGTTGATAAATATTGGAATGGATTAGTGTGAAAGGCTAGGTATATTTAGGATGTTTAACAGGATGTTGCAAAACTCAAACATGAAATTTTGCCACAAGGAATTTAAACTTTTAAAGAGGAAAAATACACAGGAAAAACCAAGGACTAAATAAATAATATAATGGAAATGTATGTGGCAGACATTATTACTGCTTTCAAAGCAAAGGCTAATTTACACATAAAAACATGGTATTTGTCTTAGTAAATGCCTGTGGACCTTTGAGCAGCTGGGAATGGGTACACTCTTATGACAGAAACAGCTAATGATAGAAATCGACTAATTGTGATGCAATGATATAATGAAGCATTGGGAGTGGTAGATGCAAATGAATGCATATTAATTAATAATCCACCAATGATATAACTATATCAAAAATCAATATCATCCAATGTACTCAGATGATACAAATCATATCATTTATAGATTTACGGATTTGAACCATTGACAAAATGATAAAAAAAACTTACTTGGTGATTTGAGAAAAAGGTGAGACCTTCACTCTCACCACTGAGCCACGAATGAAAAACTGGTACAAACACATGACTTGTGTATTTCACTGATGCATGCAAAGTCATTAACTACTGCTTTAATATCATTATATAATTTTTATAATATCTGTATTTTTATATCATTTTTCATACCATTACCAGTCTTATTCATATCCTTTTAAATTATTACTTCTAAAAAATGTCTTCTAATTTAAAATAATTGATAGTTATTTAAAGTTGCCTTCATTTCAATATAAGCTTCAATATGTAAATTTCCAAACAGATAAATATTTAAGTTCCTTGTCCTACATTTAAAAATGCTAAAAGTCTGTAAATTGCACCAAAAACATCAAAGATAATTGATCAAATCAAATACCTCTTTTGATAAACAAACAATGCAATCGCACATTTGATACATCATATTTGTTCAATGATGCAGAAAAAATAAAATTTGCAGAATTTTTGAAATTAAAAAGGCATATTTTGAATCAAAACTTTAAAGATTTTTTTTAATCAGATACTTGACAATGTGCTGGGCATGGAAATTGACAAAGCCTTTACCTATCTTTGTGATAAAATAATGTCGACCCCTTGTAAAACACTTAGCTAGCCACCATTATCGACTTCTAAGTTTCCAGGAGAACATGAACACAAACATTATTTATCTGCACCAGAAAACAATTATCACTGTCAGTTCCAGCATTTCTGGGTAACTTCTGAGAGGATATCAAAAATGCCAAAAGAGAAAGGAGACATTTAAAAATTTAAACACCACTCTTTGTCAAATTAAGTTAATTTTGATCCCAGAAAGTAAAACTTTCAATCCTTTAATCCTATTTAACCCCTGAGAAGAATTTTACCCTAAACCAGGTTCTAGCCACCTTAATATCTCAATGTAAAATCAGTTACAATGTGAAAATGAATACACAGGTCCTATGATTGTGTTATAATGTTGTGTATTGGACTCGCAGTTTTGTCATAGCATTAATCTACTCAATCATTTTATCAATGAAAAAATCTGCTGACCTGTTATATACTATAACAATAGGGCACATGTGATTATACATCACATATGACCAAGTCCTTATATAAGGGACTTAACTTTTGGCTACACTCAATCCGTTGATAAAGTTGCAAATTCAAGAAATAGTAAATGATTTATGTTGAAAGGTAATTTTTATACCTATTAAAGATGTCAAACACCTGTGAATAGGTGCAAAGAGAAAAAGAAGCAAAATTATACATACAAGAATTTAAGCCCCTCAACAGTACATCCGATTGCATCATTTCTTTACATTATTAACATTCTTAAATTAATACATCTATAATAATAATTATTTTACAGTCAATTTATCGAAGTGATACAGCTATTTTTCTGATACCCATCCCTAATTTGTTAAATCTTAACAGAGAAAGAGTTCCTGCTTAGAAATTATATAACCACCTGTTTGCAGGTATTTTAAATGGTCTGTTCCAATTAATGAGCTTATCATTAAGAAAAACGCATGCTTCTGGAATCAGTTGTCAATTCAAAGATTCAAACTACAATTTGGTATTCAAAACACTGCATCTTAATTTATCAATACCCAAAGTTTTGAAGATGAAAGTATATATAAGATGTCCATGCTCAAGCTCAAAGATCAAATACAGTACCTGTTCTCCAACAGTAGTACATTATGAAAAAATGTCATATCTTATTTTGTTATATGTTTCATTATCAATCTCAAGATCAAAAGTATCAAGATGAAATCCATGCATCCATGCAATGGGAGTATTGAGACTAAACATCCATTTAATAAGGTTTACAGTTAAACTTTGTATCTTGAACATCAAAATCTCTAATACCTTGGATATGTCAAAGCAAGTTGAAAGTCCAAAATATGCCTTCTTAATTTTCTGCAATTCTTGGATAACTCAATGTTTTGTCTTGGCCCCTTGGAGTCTGAGATAATGAAGTTTGTCTGTATCAATGTTTGAAGTTAAAAATTATCCTTAGAGAAAAAACTTTTTAATTTACTCAGTTTAGGTCAAGGGTCAACTTATATTATACTTGGAGTAAGTCACCCACAAAAGAGACAGCTAAACAAAATCATTGACCCAGATGGATAGATAGACATACAATCAATATTTCATAAACCATAATTTTTCTCTGCATTCTTCTTTTATATACATTACTATAATGCTTTTCAAGATTAAGCACACCTTCACTCACATTTTCCAATGTTTACTTGCCCTGGCCCCAGGATCATGAAACAGACTTAGACTTAAGTCAAATTTTCAATTGCCTGTAAAATATTTATTATTTATTGAATTAATCTCTAATTTTGCAGATAACAACATTTTTGTAAAGCAATACTGCAAAAGAGTTTAATTTTGGCCTGCTTCAGACTTCTACAACATTTTAGTACGACATAAAGATTTTGACTTAAGCTACCGGTAAATATGTTTCATGATCTCAGGGCCAGGGTATTTATTCCATCAAACTTACGAAAAAGTGATCACACATATATACATTAGAGAAATGTACTGATCAAACTAA